TTTTTTTTTTAGCAATTTTAGAGTAAAACTTATGTAAAATTTTTATTTTATATAAAATATCATACAAATTGTACAGTGCATTTTCTTTACAGTAAATTTAAACTTCTATAACTTTTTGATATTTAAATTTTTGAAAATTAAGTTAAGTTTGGATAGTGCACTTTAATGTCTATTTAAAAAAAAATGGGGGGTGACAGTTAAGGGGTTAATATCCTAGTGATTTTTGGCATAAAAGAAAAATTGATAATTTTGACCCATACATTGTATTGTTGGCTATTGCTACAAATATACCCGTGCCACTTATGACTGGTTTTGTGCTCCAGGGTCACATAATTTTTACCATGACTTGCAGAAAAATTGTCACAGTGTAACAATAGTTCATATAACAATAAATCTTGTCAGTAATATTTAGAACCAGAATCATTAGATGGCATTAAAAGACTCTATTTAAGGATTGTAAAAGTCATAAAGTTTTCCACATTATTAAAGTTTTTGAACTTCATGAATATCAATTATAAATGCTGAAGTGAGCTCTTTTGTGACAGGAACAGCGAGTCCCTCATTGTTTTTGCTGTTTCTCGCAGGCAGCTGCTGATTATGTGAAGGCCCACCTACCCGAGGCTCTGAAACAACAGCTGCAGGCCTATGAGTGGGAAAAGAAAGACAGCCCTCTGTCCTATCCCGCCATCCTAGAGCAGCGCATTCTGGCTGTGGACCGGGACATGGTGGAGAAGTTCTCTGCCAGCCATGATGAAGCAGGTGAGCAGGGATGAGCCTGTGTTTGAGGTTGATCTTATCCATGGGCTTTTGCTGACTGGAAACCGTAAACAATACTGAATCCCTCTTTTGGTTTCAGGCACGACGTGTTTGATAGCCTTGTTGTCAGACCGTGAACTGACTGTGGCAAATGTCGGAGACTCTCGCGGCGTTCTCTGCGACAAGGACGGCAACGCTGTGGCCTTGTCACATGATCACAAGCCTTACCAGCTGAAAGAGCGCAAGAGGATCAAGAGAGCAGGTGAGTTTGAGTGAATAATAATAATAACTATTGGTTAGTTAATGGACATACAGTAATTCAACTTTTTAGCTTAATACAGTTATAAAGACTGCTGTAGGACTGTGATCATTTTTGAAGATGTGTTGGCTTTCTGACAGTTCCAGATCACCTCAGTGTGACTGCACTATGTGAATATAACATGTCTCTGTGATCTCATCGGTCAGGTGGCTTCATCAGTTTCAACGGTTCTTGGCGTGTGCAAGGCATCCTTGCCATGTCGCGCTCACTTGGTGACTACCCTCTCAAGAACTTGAATGTGGTCATCCCAGACCCAGATATCTTGACCTTTGACCTGGACAAGCTCCAGCCGGAGTTCATGATCCTAGCCTCCGACGGCCTGTGGGACGCGTTCAGCAACAAGGAGGCCGTACGCTTTGTGCGGGAACGCTTGGATGAGCCGCACTTTGGCGCCAAGAGCATTGTGCTGCAGTCTTTCTACCGCGGCTGTCCCGACAACATCACTGTCATGGTGGTGAAGTTCAAGAGCAGCTCTGGGAGCAAAACTGGAGAGTAGATGGACTCAACTAATAAACAGCCTCAACCGATCAATAAACAGCCTCCATTGTCTTTCCATTAATGCATATTGCAAGACGCTAGATGGTGTAATACGAGACAAACATTTTTTTTCTCTCACAATTACAATAAACTGTACAGACACACATGTGCAAACACGTGCATTCCCAGATTTATTGTAATTTTTATTTTTTTGGTGTGTGCCAAATGGACACTTTATGGAAAATTTATTTTGTAATTACTCCTTTTTCAATTCCTTAAACTGTAAAGATGTATCCTGACCTTCCTTATTCAGAGCAATATTATTTGTGAAACAGCAATTGGCATAAATGGTAGAAGGACATCTATTGCCGTGAAGATGCACATGCATAAATATCATGTTTTTTTGTTTTTTTTTGTGAATTAAGATGATGAAACCGTAACCAGCTCTTGAATTTGGATGTGCATGATTCATTCATATCAGTTCAAGGCATTAATGCCAATTTACACTGGTGCTGCTCATTAGTTAGTTTAAATGAGGGTGGAATAAGGTTGTGCTAAATTAAGAATGTTACACTTTGATTAAACTCCATAATAGGTAATGTCCTATTCATTCTAGTCATTACTGCTCATTTAAGCCAAGGTTTTAATGGTTATATGAATGCAAAAGTGGCCAGATTGAAGGTAGAATGTTGCTGTATGTATGTAATTATTTTGTGAAGACTGTTGAATTAATACTGGCAAACAGTCCTCCAACTTTCCTCCTATTTTACAGAAAAAAAATGGCACCAGCCCCAATCTACACAAAGGTTTAAATTCTTGCACTGTGTGAAATGTATGTGGGAGATTAAAGTGATAAATAAACCTAACAAGTCAAAACTTGCTTGTCTTTGTTCTCTCTGATTTTTTTTTAAAGATTTTGAATATACATGCATATTCTGCCACTCAAATTTGGGCTCAGTATGATTGATTGATTTATTGATTAATTTATTTTAAGAAATAAAAATTTAACAGGGACACGTTAAATTGATCAAAAGTGACAGCAAAGACATTTTGAAATTTCTATTCTATGCTAAAAAAAATGGTTTACACAAAAATATTAAGCAGCACAACTGTTTTCAACATATAATCGGCATATTAGAATGATTTCTGAAGGTGACACTGAAGACGAGTAATGATGCTGAAAATTCAACTTTGCATCACATGAATAAATTACATTTTAAAATATATTAAAAAGAAAAGTGTTATTTTAATTTGTAATTATATTTCACAATATTCTGTATTTTTGATCAAACAATTGCAGGCCGAGGGAAAACCTACGCTGGTTTTGCTGGTCTTATAGTTTAAACTGGTGTGTGACCACCTGAAACAGCCTCTAAGCCTCTTTAGATCTCCTCTAAAACCAGCCTGAGCAGTTTGGGACTTGGGAGACCAGCTAAGACCAGTAAACCCACCCGCCCCGGAACGAGATCGTGAACGGACCGAGGGGGGCCCCGCTCCCTACCTCGCACCGGGCCCCGCGTCAGCTAAGGACGGCCCTGGAGGCAAATAATAAACAAATAGAATAAGCTTATGACGCATTGCTGTTTGCATTCTTCCTGACAGACTGACTGACGTATTTCCACAGGTCCCAGTCGCAGTAACCTCACACTGCAGCACCAGAACCATGTGACATACCAAGCTTTAACGGTGGTGCGCTGCCGGAAGCTAAGTTTAACGAGTTCACGTCACTTACAACTATAAAAGTTGTGTGAAAAACCGACACTCCCGGCATTTGTCACGACGACTGCTCTGGACTGGTTTTTGTGGCAGATTCAACTGGTGGGGTGTGGATAGACAAAACCCTCGGAAGACAGATGTGAACCTGTGGATGTGAAGTTGTGGTCGTTGTTATTCTTGTTTTTCCCTGTAATCCATCCTGAGGTTTCTAAAGGTATAAACAGTCCAGTGCTGGAAGTATCTGGAAGGCTTGAGATGGGATTTTTGGATGTCTGAAGGATATACCTTAAACTTTTTTGTTTGGTTTCCATTTACTGAAACGGAACGACTGAAACAGATTTCTGTCATGACAACTCTCGGAGGGATTGGCATGGTAATGTACATGACAATGTTATTGTATTTGGTCTAGGCAGAATAGATCTGCTATGCTGCAAGTATGAGACTTGCTACTGCCAATACATCCACAACATGCTGCTGTGAGCATGTAAGAAATATTGCTGCTGCAAATATAACATACATGAAATAACGCCCGTATAGCATACATGAATCACCTCGTAGCAGATCTATACAGGTGGAGCTGGGGAAGGTGGAGGGTTTCTGAAGCAAGCACTAGTCATATATTTGAATGTTGAGCAGCGAGCTCATTGGCTACCGATACAGGAGAGAACCAATCAGCTGTGCCATGTGATGATGATGTCAATAGGTCAGATTGAGTTAGACCTATTGGACTGCGCCATCTAGAGTTTCATGCCAGAACTCTGTATTTATGGAGATGGTCCTCACTGCAGAACACAAGATCCAGGGGGCGTGGTTGGCTCCAGATCCAACTTCTCCCACCTTACATATACCTAAACCTACCTGTCTCCACCCCCTGGTCCCTAAACCCACCCATCTCCACCCCTAAACCTACCAATCTCCACCCCCTAGATGTGGATCCAACCACGCCCCCTGGATCTTGTGTTCTGCAGTGAGGGGCTACTGGATTTATGTGATGAGATTTTTGCCATGTGACATGAGAATCCATGAAAGAGATTTTAATTTTATTTAATCATGGGATATTTTGTTTAAATGTGTACAATATTTAAGACACGAGAGAGAGCAGGACTCCATTCCAGGCATTCTTAGCATATCATTTAGGAGGTGTCCTGTGATACTTTGACCCATTAATCATACAGCACTATGTAGATAAGCAAGATATAATAAATCACAGAGTAATGCAGACACCATCTTAAGTAAACTCACATTTGTCGAGAGAACACAGTGAGAAGCTTTGGTGTTTGTGAACATCTGACATATACAATGGGCCATTCAGGATCCAGGCACAAACCTGAAGCACGAATCCTCCTCCTAGGGCTGGAAGATCAACACTTCTTTACAAACTGAAGTACAATGAGGACTTCCACACGGTTCCTACAGTTGGATTCAATGTTGAAATGATTGAAGCGAAGAAGAACAGGGACAAAATCACGCTGACCGTGAGGGACGTTGGAGGGCAGATTAAGATGCGAGCGCACTGGAGGAATTTTTACCAAGACACAGCTGGAATTGTGTTCGTCGTGGACTCTTCTGATATTAAGCATCTGGACGAGGCCAAGAGCGTGCTGGAACAGACCTTAAAGAGTGACCACCTCAGGGGACTCCCGGTGGTGGTTCTTGCCAACAAGCAAGATATTGTAGGAGCTGCAATGGTAACAGAGATCACAGAGCAGTTTAACCTGATAAAGAGTTGCAGTGATCGAGACTGGTTCATTCAGCCGTGTTTGGCACGGACTGGAGCAGGTCTGGTGGACGGCTTTAAACGAGTGGCACACCTGGTGAAAATGACACCGGAGGACAATAACATCAAAGAGACTGAAGTATATAAGATCAAAATCAGTTATGTCATTAAAGAAATAAGGTAACTTATTAACCACTTTTTATGGAAGGTTAAGTACACAATGCTACTAAATATAGTTAAGATAGTTCATAACATGTGAACTGAATGAAAAATGTTAAACCATGCACGCTACTGAAAATTACTGGACTTATAAATTATTCATAAATGCATTACAGTAACCAAGACCATTTAGAATAATAAAAATCTTTAAAGTCTATAAAGAAATAAATGCCCATATAAACAGCAAAACCTGTTAACTACACTTACAGAAAGTTACATAAACCAATTAGTTCATACTAATTGTTTAGAATCATGTAAACTATTACGGGAACCTGAGTTATAAGGAACCATAAAAGGGTATTACTTTGAATTACTGAACGTATTTATTAACATATGCTATTGAAGTACTAAAGTTTTTATTACATTTTTAATTAATGTACAATTTTTACTTTCATTTGTTGCAAAACGCAGACTTTGTAACTAGACTTTTAGAAGGTTATGTAAACTAAATGAGCAATTCAGAAAAATGAACCATAAAAGATGCCAAATATTACCTTGAGTTATAATTCATGAGTATATTTATTAGTACAGTGCATGCTTGAATGTGCAATTTTTGTCAAATACAAACTTCAACAATTGAAATGCATGTATTAATGCATGAACATATTTCTGACCACAGAATTTAAAGAAATGTCAAGGAACAAGACAAGATGTTCTAAAATTTTATTTTTAGAAAGTCACATTGTCAGCTTCCATTTTTCCTTGAGCTAATTTTTCTTAAGCGGCAGGTCATTGTTCAAACCCACTCCCCTCATCTAAACTGAAAAGAGAAGCATTAAGGAACAGGCCCTTCTCTAATGGACTGAAGCTTCCAGTCTCTTGATCAGTTTTAAACTCCAGCTCATCAATCACGGGACTCATCTTGGTCGATTTGAATAAGAGCTCTGGCTCCTCAGCAACGGATGCCAAGAAGACCTCAGCTGGGCCGGATTGTGGGAACCCAGTTGATTGGGTGGTCGTTTCTTGCTTTGGGGTCAGAAATAGAGGACCCAAGGTGGCAATCTTACCCCAGCCTGTTATAAAGGGAGAAAGTTGTTTGAGTGCCACATGACTCGAATAAATAAATGCAGGCAAAAGAATGAAACATTAAATGTGCAAACCTTTGGCGTCGGTTCCTTTCTTTGACAGACCACCATAAGCATACTGCCTTGATTGCATGAAAGATTTAAAGGGTTCTAATGACTGAACGGGTCTCACACTAAATAAATTAGCAGGTCCCGGTTTTCGGGCCAAATAAGGCTGCCTGACGGGAGGGGCTAGTGTGATGCGGAAAGGCTGGATTGGTTTAGGCTCTGCCGCAGTTTGTTTGGACGGCTCACAGGTGTTACACACCTCATCATTTCCATCCACAGACTGCCACCTGCAAGGTCCACAATGGTTCTTACATAAAGAGCCATTGACTGACACCAAAGTTTTAATGAAGTCAGTCATTACCTTCCATCAATAAAAGAACATGCTCGATTCTGAGAGCTCACAGAATACACAGTAGGGATGGCCTTCAGGTAACATGTGATGAACACCTGTTTCAAATAAAACCAGGATGCACTGCAGAATTAGATTAACTAGGTAGACAAATAGTCTTAAACCAAAAATTGTCACTTATCTTCATGTTTTTCCAAACCTGCATGCCTTTCTATGCAACACAGTGATGGTATTTTAAAGATTTTGATCCAAATGGAAAGTCTTGGGGTCCAAAACAACAATTGACCATATTAACGAACAGGGCATACAGGTTTGGAACGAATTGAGAGGATTAAGGCTGAAATGCACTACTCGACTTCAAATCTGAACAGATTTTAAAACACTAGGCATCATACACTTACCAACTTTGTAAATGGTTACAGAGAAAATCTGGGCATCATGCACTAAACCAATGAGGATCACACACACACTCCCAGACTTCCAAGTCATTCCAAGCACAATCTCAGGCAGAAACGGACACCTTATTACTAGGAGATGCAGGACAAATGGTGTTCAAATCAGCTTGAAATAGCAAATATGTTTGATACCCTCAAACTGGATGGAATATATGTACACACATCAAATGAGTGTCAGTGTCCATCATACACTATACGATTTTCTGTGAAATTTGTCAAATCGGAGTGGTTAATATCTGCAGATTGGCTCGGACTTTTAGCAACTAGTGCCAACTCATCCACACTGCAAATCAGGGCAAAATTCTGTGCAAGTCGCATAGTGCATTTCAGTCTTTGAATGAAAATCTTCATTCTTGGGTGAACTATCCGTTAATTAATCTTAACTTCTGCTCACCAAGTTGCTGGTCAGTTTGTGGAATCTGAAGGCATCCAGTAGCAGGTTTAATCTGTTGCCTTGACTCCTCGACAAGAACTTGGAGCGAGAGTACAAACTCCTACTGTCTGCAAGACATCTGAAAGTAGTCTACATGATTGGAGCTTCCTTTCAAGTAGCTCAAAATGCTGAATTCAAATGTACGAACAGACCGGTACAGTGTTTCTCAGTGCCAAGACAAGTAAACAGTTCTTGCATAACACTTTATACATCCCTTTAGATGCACGCATTAGTTTGTACTACTGGACCAGTTACATTCATCACCAAATTGGTAATTTCAGGACCAGTTTTTACATGGAGTTTTAATCTATTAGATGCAATAATAAGCAATTCAAGTCTGACAAAACTCACCCATGATAATCTACAAAGGAATATTTGAGGTCACTAGTATCAAAGCCAAAAGTTGGTGTAGCCACACACCAGTCAAAAAACAGGAGGAGGGGGGAGTGTTTTGCCAAGGTAACCGATGCTTGAAGTTGTATCGCACCCCCGAGAAAATAGACATTTGAGCCCCTCTCATTCTGCCAGTCATCTTTAAAAAAATAATAATAATGGATGATGATGATGATGATAGATAGATCTGAAGCAGAACTCTGCAAATTTGAATACCATACCACTCATCAATCGGAGGCTAAAATCCAGAAAATCTGTGGCTGAAGCAGTAGATGCAAATGGGATCCAAGTGGGTGCCACTGCCACACTGTTAACACTGTACCACCTTAAGAGGATTAAAAAAAAAAAAAAAAGCTAAAGCTAAAAATCAATTTGCAAGAGATGTGAGGTTTGTCACCTTACCTGCGGTATTGGCACTGAACAGGTATGACTGCACCTTCCTGGTGAAGTACACCATCAAGAGTTGGTCGAGGGGAGTACACAAGGACATTTGAATATACCAGAGAATCCGCAGTTACCTGTGAGAAGACGGGATTTGAGACTTTAGTCTTTGCAACTTTACAGATCTTCTTTATGCACCAAGAGCTTCTAAAACTCCAAAGAGAAAGGAAAAAATGAAATTGCATCATATGACCCCTTTAAACCCCACATGTGTTTGTAACAAACTATTTAACAGTAGTTTACAAGTATATTTTACCAGTAGGAACAGTGGTTCCCTGTTATTTGAGGCCTGCCAAGCTGGTTGCCAACCAGTCTTCCAGTCAGACTTAAGTGACAAGAAGCAAACACCCTCTCAAAACTCAAAGACCACCAGAATTCAGGGAACGATTTTCTTCATCGCAACAATGTTTGATGAGCCCGACATGATGTTTGATATTTCTAATCGATTTGCAACAGTGAAGACAAAAGTTATAAGCAGGCGGTTTCCGGTTGGTTCAGTCCGGAAGGAACGTTACACGAGTGAAACAATTCCCTTTGCGTATTTCCGAAACTTACTATGGCGAAGGCTTCGCTCATGAATATTAATAAGGTCATGACAAGTGACCTTTCGCTTGAGTTCTGCAGTGTAACCTAATTAATATTCATAAGATAAACCTTCAGCGTAGTAGGATTGGGTCAGCCGTAGTACAACGCCTACTTGTCAGCGTCAGCAAATCAGTTGAGGGTACTGGGCAAACGTAATTAATATTCATAACCTAGTGGAAAAACAAATGGGAATCGAACTTGTTTTTATATCGTATTCACAACCAATACGCCACCTGTTGGCGATTATATGCGCTACACTGCTCACGTGATACCTCATATCTCTATTTTCTCGCTTTTGCTTCTTTATGTTATAAAAGACTGATCGATCATATGATTGACACTCGCCATTAATGATTCTGTGTATGACTAGAATGCTATGCAAATATTGAATTGCTTCTCAATATTCATTATTTTGTAAAGTGTATTACAAAGCAGGAATTGTTATGGAAACTAGACAGTCCAATAAAATGCGCCCTAGAATGCTGTCTTAAAGGGGTCATATGATGCGATTTCAATTTTTCCTTTCTCTTTGGAGTGTTACAAGCTCTTGGTGCATAAAGAAGATCTGTAAAGTTGCAAAGACTAAAGTCTCAAATCCAAAGAGATATTCTTTATGAAAGTTAAGAGTCAAC